TCAGGTAGGCTTGCACTAACACCATTGCACCTCCCTCTCTCCCCATAATTAAGTGTTTGTTCCTCAATAGGTGATCAGGGTGGATAAAATTCTTGGAACAAAAATGCAGACAAAAACTCGTGTTAAGTTTTTCAAATGCCCTTTTGTTTGCCTTGATTCAAACAGCTGCCCATCTTCTTCCCAATCCTCTTCCTTGGGTGCGATCTCTTCATTCTTGCGCTCACAATCTATCAACAGCCGCGTGAGTCGCTTTCTAACGTCATTCTCATGTTGGTTGCCATTCCCATCTACTGGTTCGGTGTTTCATGGAAAAATAAACCAAAGAGCTTCCAAAACTTTATCTGTAAGTAACCCTATGTGAGTTCGCTGTCTTTAAATAAGGAGTTACTCTTTTTCCGGTCTTATTTCTCCTTGTAGATAAGGGCACAGTGCTTCTGCAGAAAGTGTTTGCGTGTGTGCTAGTGGAAGATGAGTTGCAGTTGGACGGGGTCGATTCTTCCTTCACTAATGGAGACGGGAACGTAGAGACCTAGCTCTCCAATGCTCTTTTATGAACTCAGGAAATTAACCTTATTTTGTCAGTATTGTGTACGTCCTTGCGAATTGTCTCTTTTCTCTCTTGCCTTCCTTCATAGCTCCTGACAAGCCGTTATTTGTGCGCTAAACATTCCTCTGATACCTTTATTACTCCCTACTAGTTGTGCACCCATATAAATTAAAGCTCACTGTCTCGACAACAACATAATGACTTGATTGGGGACTGCTTCATGATGTAATGTTAATGTCAATGTTAGTTTTACGCATGGACTCTTGGGGTGACGTCATTTCATTTTTGTCCTTCTCCACATTGTTTAAACGTGGGTCAAGGCAGGTGAAAACTGTCATGTAAAAGGGAGCATAATGCATTCAAAACGAATCCACATTTCATAATCGTGACGCCTGCATGTACACAGGATCATGTAAACTACTAAGAAGTTATAATTTTTTTAGTGAAAGGATGATTTTGTAATCACCTGTTTCCTTCTTAGGTGTCTTGAGTCACTTGCGTGGTGTTATGCAGGCGCACTGCAGCATGTCAGGTGGAATTGTCGCTATTGCAACATCCAACTACTAACAAGTATCAGAGTGTAAACGTAGGGAGGGAAGTTCCACATCCGAGAAGTCACCATTCAAGCATGTGCGTTTGTTATTGTCATCTCAAGTTGAGTCCTGGACAATGTTTACTGTGGTCGTTACAGAGAGCCTAAGTGCGTCTTTTCCTTAAAACACACACACACACACACAAATACATGCGTGAATTGATGATGTGTAACGGTGATGATGCAATGGTTTGTATCCATTTTTCTATCCCTAGAACGCATTACTAGGCCTACAATATGATTGTCATTCTCAATCTTGTCAACGTAGTGGCACCACCCTCTCCTCCAACCAACATCTTGATTGCGTACTTGTTGAATAGTCACTACACCACCTTGGCGATGTCTTTGTTATTGCTGTCGCCTCTGACCTGAGGTAATTTGTCCTTTTGGAGTTAAACTTTTGCATTATTGAAGGCGTAAATATTTTATGCAACCTGACATTTGAATAGGAGAGGTTGTTGAAAAGGTGAGCGAGTGGAGTTTCCGTGACTAGTTAGTTGTTGAGTTGGAGATCAAAGTCATTGGCATGTGGAAATAATGTAGGCCTGCTTTGGTGAATGTGTTAGGTGGCCAGGTTTGACGATGTTAGGTGAGGAGGAGGAGGAGGCTTGCAACACACGTTCAAAATGTTCCAAGAGTAGATCATTTGATTGTCCAATTTGTGCCATATCCGTTGTTCGGATGTCAACCAATTGCGAGGGCGTGGAGTAGAGTGCCATTTCTTGACTAATGATGGCATTATCTACAAAATTTGAAGTTCTCGAGAGGCTGAAAGGGAAGCATTAATAATTACTGGCTTCACCTTTACCTATCGTCAACCGGACCTCTTTTTGGTGCACAGAAGGATCGTGTTGAGATGTTGGTCGCTATGACTGCCTCAGATGCATCTGTTGCTTTTAGTGCTAGCTTTGCAAAGCCGACACTCTGCCATCATTGAGGTGAATGTTGTGGCATCGGATTTAAAAAAAAAAGGAATCGCTACAATGCATTCCACTCTGCTCTTGTTCTCTCTGATTGGAAAAATGCAAATGCAATACCCCACTCCACCACCCTTCCACCCTCCACTCATTACCATCTTACCTTTTAGTGCATTCTGTTTCGTCGTCGTCCCTCATCCTTGCCCGATGCTAGAGATCTCGATGGATGGTGCACCTTCCACATGAAATGGGAAAAAATGAAGTGATAAGCATATGAATAGGAGATTTTGCCTGTTATGGGGAGGAAATAGCTGGAGTGGTGGCAATGCACGCATCATCAATCACTGGACGCTAATAAGAAGATCAGTGACTTGGACACGCTGCCTTGTCCACAGAGTTGACAGCGCACGATCACAAACGCGTCAGCCTTCCTCAGAGTGCAGTGATGGGGGCGGGGGGAGGGGAGGACTTTTCCCAGCTTAGGCTCTTGTGCTGTGCGAAGGACATTGCAGGCGTTGTGTGTTGACAGTGAAGGAGGCATCACTACTGGAGCACACTCTCGTTGAACAACACGTCTGCCACGCAGTATGAGTAAAAAATCGACATATTTCGTGGTCCTGACTGCACAAATCGCAAGTTTTTCCACAATCTCATGTTTTTTTTTTCCATAGTACAGACGCATTTGCAGTGCCTCTACGCTAAACAATCAACAAGTGGTTCGAAGTTAAGAAAACCTTCAACGAGGTTTGTAATTATCCGCACAGAGTATAAATGGGTGCACTTTGTATTGTCACCTCTCTCCAATCAGGACGATTGTTTGGATCCTTAACTGGCACAGTTGTTACCGTCTCGAAGGTTAAACAAGTCGGTTCACTAAACTTACCGCCGAGAGGGTAGGCGATACTTTTTCTTTTTTCCTCAATCGCATACACACAACTACTGCTGGTGTGAAATGCTAACAACGGCAATGATGATGATGTTGATGGTGCTGTTGCGGGTGGTGAATGCCATGCATCCACCCATCAACCCTGTGAACGCAGTAAAAATTACTGTTTGAAGGTGAAAATGATCGCGCCTTTGGGAGCCACCATGACTTGGCGGTTTGCAGGCTCTCGACGGTCATGTTGGGCATGTGTAGCGATTCAATTTGTTTAGTTTTTGTCTTGTTTTGTGACATTGAGAAGGCTAACTGGTTAGTGTCCTTGTCCAACGCTGCTGCCATAATGTCGTTGCTGTAGGTCTGTTGAACTAAAATATGTAGGCGCTGTCGTCCTCCTGTCCTCGGGCATGACCTAAGGGGTGCTTTTAGTTGAATCTGTCCTGTTGTAATACCAGTATTCTTTTTTGCATAAACAGGTAAAATCATTTCTATTGTTAGTCAGGACCAAAACCCGATCTGTAATTGGAACTGAAAATTCAAATGGGTGGATGAAGGATGTAGAATATCCTCCTCCTCCTCCTCCTCCTTCTGTAAGTAAGGTTCAAAGAGTTGCACCGGTAGAATGTATTTTGAGTAATTAAGTAAAATGGGAAGGAAGTGTTTGGTGCAAAAGACATTTTTAATTGTCAGTGCACTACCAATTGAATGTTCGTTTAGTTCGGTAAAAATTTACATATGACTTATGTCACTGCTGCTATCAAGGTGCTCTCGAATCGCACTATTTTCCTCAATCAAACATTTTCGATTCACATTTTGTAACTGGACTGCAGTTATCCTCCTCCTCCTCCTCCTCTTCCTCCTCTTCCTCTTCCTCCTCCTCTTCCTCCTCCTCCTTCTTCTTCTATAAGTAAGGTTTAAAGAGTTTTGCGTCGGTTCCACCGACAATCTCACACGCCCGACACCAAGTATTTTGCAGCATTCTGCACTGATACCAACAATGACGACTCCAATTTCACCACTTCGATATGTTATTTTTGTTGCTTTGTTGACTGCTCACTTCGTTCTTCCTCATTCTACTATCCAAACATTAGTAAGTTGAACGAAATTTAATGTGTCATGGAAAGATGTGTTGAATCCCCTTCACCAAGAAGTAAACATCATTCACCTTTTACTCCTCCCCTCAAACAATTTCGCAATCTCATCTCATTACAATCTAAATTGGATTTAGCAATTGGCAGTGGAGCAGATATTTTCTAGACGTAAGTATTATGTCCTTGGAATGCTGAGTTTCCTTCCAGTAAGCTCCACAACTTTGGTACTTCAAAGCCCCGAATGCTGGTAGTAGGTGATGTGCGACGTATGCGCGCTTGAGGCTACTAAACACTCTCATTGTATTTGTATTTCAGTTTTATTTTCATGCACTGAAAGCATCAAGAGGGTATTTTTTGGTCGCGAGACGATGAACAACCTCCTGGCAGCAGCGTGAGGGGGACGAGGCCGATCTGGTTCGCCTGGTCGACCCAGTCATCCGCATTTGTGATGGCGCGCGTACAAATGCGACTTCCAAAGTGGATGTAGTCATTCCCCTCTACTCCTCCTCCTCCTCCTCCTCGAAAGACTAACTCATTTGAGCAAAGTCTATAGCCACCTTTAAACTACTTCTATTTGCGGTTTTATCTATCGCCTGCAGGTAGTATGCTGAAGAATTTGGCAGCAAAATCCACAAATCAAGGCTGTGTGGCCTTTGGATGGAAAGGCACCATGCACTGAGCTGCTGGTTCCTCAGAGTATTCCTCAAGCAAGTGACTGAACTGTCAGAATTAAAACTTAGTTCTTCCAGTCCTGACTTGCGGTACCATCACATTTGCATTCCTTCACTTCCATCAACACCAATTCCACAAATGATCGCCTTGTGTGAAAGGTCAGGTTTATATCGAATATCGTCTCAGATTTTAGTCTACTTACACTTAAATGGCATCCCTCGACATATGGTCAAAGAACAAGGTGATCCTGTCAACCTATATTTCAACCTATCAACGATTATTTCAAAGCCTACAGCCAGCCCACCGGTTGGCCTGATCAACAGCGTCACTAATAATGCATATGCTTTCCATTTTCAAGCAGATGCATGGTCGTCTGACATGGCAACACCTACCAATTAGGATTGGGTCTCACGTGGATGTCCTCCGCTTGTCCTTTCAATAGCGGTTCCATCAGTGACTTGGATTGAGGAACGATAGGGCTATAAATTGTAAACAAATGTAAAAAAAAAACACAATTTGAACGATCATAACCGAAGACGAGTGGATCGACATGATAGGAGCGCACATACACGAAGTCGGCTTTGCATTCATTCGAAAATGACTAACAGGAATAGAGGTGAAAACCTAAACTATTGTCGATAGAACTCAAGTGATTGGTTTACCTTTTTAATGACTGCTGTTGTTTGCGTCATCCATGCCTTGAGCAAGGCAACACAGCAGAGAAGTGCCACTGATATCAAGAGTTACTTATTGCAGTGCGTAGTCGTAAATTTCAAAGCTATGGCCATTTCCTCTTGCGGTGACTTTTGGACGACAAACGGGAAGAGGAAGAAGGCGGGCTGTATTTCGCTTGCAGAGCCTCCTAATACAAGCTCGCATATGGCTTTAGCAACGGTAGCTAAACATGTACAGGCTTCATCGGTCTGTAACCAAAAGAGGTTTCGGAAGGTAACTTCTGTCGCAGATACATTACCGTCCTTGTGTTGCAAGGGCCTGACAATCCTTACTGTCAGTTTTTGAAGTGTAAACACATCGCTACTGAATTACTAATCAGTAAAAAGTGTATCACAAAAAACATCCGTTTTAAAATTTAGCGTTGGATTTTAGGCAAGCGAAGATCACAAAAGCAGGGAAGCATCCACTTTCATTCGTTTTGTATGTAGGAGCATATCGTAGATTAATCAACGAGTGTGTAATGTTACAACAAAAATGCAAAAGTCATTGCTATCTGCGAGCTGTGAGTTGATTTGATTTATTGAAGTGGAGATGGAAAGGGGAGTAACATCCTCGTCAACATTACTAAAACAACTGTTGCCAGATTTGTTGTCATAAATTCTTTAAAAACACCTTGGTGTAAAGAGAAATGTGTTAGGGAGGAACTTATTATCCAGCCAATGAAAAGTGTACGTGCCACCTTACTCACAACTTGGCTAGCCACTTACAGAGCCCCATAGGAACTGTGCACCAAGAGAAGTAGTTTGGCGCCTTATCCTCCACCTTCAGACACGAACTAACCCAAGTTAAAGTCCCATTCAGTGCTAATGGCCAACGTTGACTGCCAATGGCTTGTAAGTGGCCATCTACGGAGCTACAGCGTCGCTGTTACCAATTGAAACACTTCAAAACTCCTAACTAGGAAGTGCGTCAAAAAACACCCTCCTCATGCACCTGAAAAACCACGAATGATCATCATTGGCATCACACAGTGTATGATCGAGTCAGAAGCCACGAAAATCACTTCCAACCCTTACCATTACAATGAGCATTAACATTTACACAATGAAACAAACCGAAATAAGCAAGGCGAAACGTTGCATCACCAGGTAACTATTTTATACTAGACAAACAAATCAGCAAGTAATAACTTAGTCAACTCTTTGCTGGTGAAGTTGTTCGACAACACCAGTGTCATCGAAGGTCTGGCATCAATGGCTATCACGACAGCAGCGAATCCACTCTACTACCTAAAATTCTAGCGCAATGGCACCACCGTGGTAGGGAAATGCGTGGATGATATAAGATAAAGAGCGCTTATCAGAGGAGATAAAAACAAGAAGGTCGTAAGAGTAGACACCAAAAACGTTCACTAACGAAAATTATTGCCTAAAATTGACCCAGCTGTAAAACCCATGGGTAACGAACGCGTCTCTAAGGCGAAATTGCATGGCAAGGGGATTGCATATCGGAGTGCATTTGTTAGGCGAAATTGTGATTTGACTCTTGTAGTTCTACCTAACAGTTGCCTAAAATGTTTGAAGATCATGATTCATTAGTCAAATGAATTTTGTCCTCTGTAGGTTTAGGCACCTCTCACACTTTCCCCTATACTATGTCGACATTGTAAACCTTGATGTCGAATAAGTTATCCACAAGCAAACAGACTTCCGATCAGTCTGTTTTAAAAATCCTTCCCGTTATCAAAAAAAGAAGCCGCTGGCGCCGCATAAGTGTAACTTTTGCACCTCAATGATTCACTTCGCTCCTGAATGGTTCCTCAGGTGTCTGCTTGCTTATGGGAGTCTTACCAGACGTCATGGTACACGATACAGCAAACGATCTGGAGGGTAGTCAAGTAAACAGAATATTCATAGTTGTTTTGCAGTAAGCATAGACCAGCACTTGGATTAAGGTAGGTCGACAGCTTTTGTATCATATCGTGTGTACTTACACTTTGCATGTGTGGTGCACTTTCATGTCCAATTTTTCACGTTTTACTGCATACGCTCGACCTCTCAAAGCTGAGCAACGTATTGTAAGTGTTTGGGAAGACTGGATTGAGCGAGGAGAAACCTCTTAATTGCGAACTATAGTGTACATTTATGTGCACCAGCATAAGGGCTAGTAATTGAGTGCTGTCCGCCTAAACAGATAATGAGGTTCTGTGACTGCCGACTTTTGGATTTGGAGGGATTCGCAGTCTTCCGCTGACGGTTGTAATTGGGGCAATATTTATTTTGCTTCAAATTGCGTAGGCCTATTCAATGTTTTACTCCAATTTTTAACCTAGAATTGCTCTCCATCCTAGATGGCGTGATTACCCCACCGGTTTTTCCATTGTCTCATTAAATCCAAAATTTGCTTCCCCATTTTTACCTTTTTGACCGAGATACACTACCTTAACTTTAAGAATGTGCATCGCTATTACATGGCTGTTAAGAGAACTGTTTAGCTTTAAGACCGTAATGGATGCAAAAAACCTTAAAGATTAGTGATTGTAAAAATTGTTTTTTTTTTGGTTTGATGAGAAAACACAGGAGATTAGGCTACTTTTGAGGACGACTTCGAATACTACAAGCAGAGCGCTTCATTCAGCAAATTGGTCCTCTCAGGCCTAAAAAAGGCTAGACGCTGGGTTCGTGTTGCTTTTTATGCCTCATTGAAAATATTAAACATAACGGACGCATTTGCTTTTTCAGCACCACGGTAGCATTAAAAATTAAATGTTGTAATGCTTTGCTTATGCGACTATCTGACGTTTGGCGGTCACTTTAGGACTTGTCTGGGCCCTGTACACGTGGGCTGGCCTTCGGGTCGCGCTCAGGCCCCATTTCTCCTAATGCTTTCGGAATACATGTATTCAACCCCACTTATGCCTTCTACTACCCATTTGGAGCCTCGGGACGCTACACTGGTGGCAGCGGAAAGCGAACCCGACATCTTTTTAGCGACTTTTAGGTATAAGGTGCTTTTGAAAGCGACATAGTGTGTGGGAAAATGTGTTGC